GGCCAGGCCAGAGTTTCCTACAGGAACCAGAGAGCCAGCAAGGCGCTGCAAGGGGAGACGACTCCACCATAGCCGTCTAGACCGTGGTCTTTTTCTGGGCAAGCCACGAGATTTCTTGGGAGAAGATGCCGTACAAGCGCAATGATGCTGTGGCTGAAAGTGACTAGGTCGACCTCGGCGGTGCCGTAAGCAATTCGATCATGACGATTCGTCACCAAGGGCAAAGTGCCAAAGGAAAACGAGCTGATGAGCGGAGCCTAGAGGAAACCAAGTCTGGGCAAAGCCAGCTCTTGGGAAACTCGTATCATTATGATTTGCATGCAACCTAGATGAATGAAACCATTGATGGAAATGCAACCCTACTGCCGGTACCGAAGAGCCAAGACCAGGCCAGGCCAGGCCTGTTTATCTCAGTGGTTCTTTTGATTGACTTTTGGTTATGTCGGTGCCTTGCTGATCAGGTTCATCCTTTCAGCCTTCGCTGTCAGCCTCTTAGGTTTGGCAGCCAAGATGTTGATGATCCCGTTCCCGCTACGGACGGCATTTGTCTGTCAACCTTGATGATGGTGGCGCCGGCCTTGTATCGGGGATATTACGAGAACTCAACGGTGGGTGATGGCCACGATCATTTGAACAACGTGGGTGAAACGGATGAGGCGATTGAGTCTGGCTTGTTGATGGATAACGTGGAAAACGTTTAGCCATTGCAAGTGATGAATGTTCGCAGACATGATCCCAACATAACTTTCTCTGTACGTGAAATATGGAGGTCGGCTTCTCCTCACTTCGTGACGTGTTACAGCATCAAAATTGAGTTATCGTAGTGTCAAAGACGAGCAAATAGCCAATATACAGTACGAACACAGTATAACAAACATGTGATGACCCTTGACTTGGTTGACGTACCCCGCTGTCCATGGGCTACCAATTGCACAGCCCATAACTAGATCTCACTCTTTTTTACCCCTCCACACTAAACTAAACCCAAGATCGAAACTGCTCAAACCACCATCACAACGTTACGCACTACCTTATCCCTAAGAGAAAATTAAGTTACGAAAATCAGCAGATTCTCTTAAGCGAACTTTTGTGTTGCCTTCTAAATCCAACTGCCAAGAGCTCACTGCCAAGCCAACTACAACGGCTCTATCGGCTTCCAGGCCCTGGTCAGCAAAGCAAAGCAACTATGGCTCTCGAAATAGTCTCTCTCGAACACCTGCCAAACTCGCACAAGGTCTACGTTGCCCTGTTCCGTGACGTACAGAACTCGGCCTTTTTGCATCAGCAGCTGCTTGCTCGGAACCCCCAGTTCGAGTACGCCTTCATCGATGCCTCAGTGGTGAGTTCCGCCGCGGAGTACCCGACTTGGGTATAGGGCATTTTCCATTAATACGGAGCATCATCACCAGGTCGTGTCGCGGCTTCAATTATTATCCGCTGTGTTTAAGGCTACGTCGACGGCTGTAAATGGCGCCCTCAGGACTCCAAACGTGCACTCCGAGATTGTCTGTGCAATGAGTTCTTCTAATAACGTAATGTGACCCCTTGTTCCGACATGTCTTCGTTTGAGGCTGACACTTCATGCTCAGATTGCTGATGCTTACCGTCGATATGGCATCTCTCCTTCTACCAAAGACCTCATCGTTGTCAAGGTCACATTCCCTGGAGAAGATGGTGCTGAGCCCTTGACACATGATCAGATCTGGGAGCATCTCAAGGCCAATGTTGAGGGAGAGGCTTTACCCATCACAGATGACCAAATCTCCTCCACCACTGACGTACCAAAGGTGCGCAAGTACTACAAGTTGAACGGACTCAAGTGGCTGGACGATATTAAAGATGAAAAGGCCAAACAGAAGGAGATGGAGTCACTCGTCATCGGCGCAATGGCTCTAAGGGGTGTCTGAAGCACAATACCAAGCCAAAAGCTTCACAGTCAATCAAATAATTTGTTAAAGACTAAAACGTAAGTCATTTCTTCATCTATGCTTGATCTATCTCGGATATTGAGATGCTAGACGCCCTGGACTCCTGATCGCTACCCATGATGCAAAACAAAAGAAACATAAAGACATTGATATCAAGTTCTTTTCTCTTCCCTTTTCCCTTTTTTAGTTTTTGTTCTTTTTACTTCTTTAAGCCAAGCCGACGGCGCTCTTGCATCGACGGACAAGCTCGGCCCAGAGAGCATCCCGGCTGCCCCTGGTTCGCTGGACGGCATCCTTGTTCTCGTGTGCGCGTCGTAGGAGGTACTTCATGCACTCGCCGGTGGTTCCCCAGACGAGGTACTTGTAAGCGGGCAGAATCTTGGTCTTGTCAGACTGACCAGCCTCGACAAGCTCGCAGCTGACCTCGTCAGCCATGCCCTGGAGTTGGGCAAAGGCAATGTCGGACTTGGCTCGGCCGGCCTCCATGATGGCACGGCTTCGTCGCACGGACTCGGCGTTGTGAGAGGCGACGACAAGGCTGGCAGCAGGGTACTCGCCGGAACCCTTTACGTCAATGTTCCACTCGCGGGTGAGGACGCTGGCAGCGAGGGAGTCGAAGCAGGCGTCGGTCTCCTCCTTGGTGTCATGGAAGAGCTCGCGAGGGTCGGAGTTGAGATAAGCGCCACGGACAAGCTTGACACCGAGAGCAAAGTTCTCGATTTGAGCGAGCTTCAGGTGGTTGGAGAGAACCTCGGGGCACTTCTTCTTGTAGGCTTGGTAGGTACCAAAGATAACAGCCTCGCCAAGTCCCTTGTTGTACTTGCGGGTGAACTCGAGAGTCCAGTCGTCAATGCCGTCCTGGAGCATGTCCTGCTCGGCGTCGAAGAGGAGGCGGACACCTCGCTCGTGAGCGAGCTGGCAGATGGAGTCGATGGCCTTGTACATGGCGGGGCTGGGAGGGAGACGGTCCTTGAGCTGGTAGAGGGCGATGCTTCCGGCGCCAGTAAACTTGAGGGCGACAAAGTCACCAGGCTCGGCAAGTCGGACAGTCTCCAGAGTGCCTCGGGCCCAGGGAAGAATCTCGTTCTGAATGCACTCGTCGGTCTCCATGGCACCGTTCTTCAGACCCTCGCCCTCATCCTTGGTGAGGACAACCTCCTTGGCGTAGTTCAGAATGACACCAGTGAAACCAATGTTCTTGAGTCCATCGATAGTCTTCTTGATCTCGGGTGACTTCTCGCCTGCGCAGAACTGAGCGTAAAAGGTCTTCTTGAGGAAATATCGCAGAAGAGGGTTCTTGTCGGGGTTGAGCAGAGGGTTGGTGGTGTTGGCCAGAATACCCATGACGTGCAGAGAGGGAGGTAGGAGCAGAGGCGAGGAGGAGACGGTCATGGTGGCGAGAGATCGGAGAATCATGATGAGAGGAAGAACGGAGAGAGGCGCCTTGCTGGGAGCGATGGGAGGTAGAGGATCGGGGATCTGCTGCTGCTCGACGATGGTGTTTGTGCGTCGCTCAGAGGAGTGGATGTGACGGCGGGCGACCATGTTGGTCTTTGTGATGGTGAGGCATGGTCGGAAGGTGTTGGTGGTGATGGCGTTGGATGCAGTCGCCCAGCGAAGGGGCTGGGCAGTCCCTCGCCGAAGGGCCGAGCTCATTATATGAGATGTGTGTGGTGTTGAGCTGAAGGTCCTAGGTTGGGAGTTGGATGAAGATGCTGGATCAGTATGGAGGGATCCAGATGGTGATTGTGTTGATGTTAGGTTGGGTTACGGAGCGATGATGCAAGATAAGTCAAGTTAGGTTCTATCTGGTTGGGTTTGTTGGAATGAGCAACGGGTGGCAGAGAGCTTATTATATCCATCTCAGAGGGCAGTGACTATCAGTGCCAGTGTCGGTTGACTGCGGTGCTTGGTAACTCTGGTCTGTGCCTGGGCTGGGGCGTGTGAGGGAGGTGGCGCTATCTCCAGCCCGATAATCCCATATCTCCCTTGCCCTGTTTGTTTAGCCTTCCCCCATTCCACAGCAAAAGAGAATAAAATCTTCGCCATTGATCTCCATCTTGCTCTAGTTGAGCTAGTCATTCATGGTCATGTTTACGCTATACCAAGGGGGCCCCCCGGTCCTCCGCAGAGGCCGAGCCAGACCGGCCCGTGACTATCAAAATGGACTGCAGGCGAAGGGAAAAAAAGAAAAGGGACCCAGCTGTACGGAGCTTATCAGCCGTCACGTGGCTCATTTTAGCTTCAGCATCACCATGATGGCCGAAAGTAGCCGTTGAGGGGCGTGGGGGGTGCAAGCCCACGATAATTGGGGAGATTGGGAAGCTGGGGATTTGGTTTGGTTTGGTTTGACTTGGTTTCTGTGATTGCCGCAACAGGCCGCGATCCCCAGTAAATACGTGTTATGTAATTGGCGACACTGGCAAAGCTAGCAAGCACAGGGCATTGTGGGGAACCCTTGGAGATGCATCACCAGCATTCTCTTAACTGTTTTGAGATTGACAGTGTTGGGTTGGTTTGTGCTGAGACATGAGACGTCTTGTGACTTGTTTTGATGACGATGCGTCCGTGTCTCTGACTTTCACAGCCAACTTCCATTGTTGGTCAATGATGTGCAAGGGGGCTGACGATGATGTGTTGTTTGCCATTCGGTACTTTATGTAGATAAGGCGATATGGATAAGATATGCCGACATCCAATCCATCCTCTGGATGACGAATGGGGCTCTGCTACCGTATCTCACTGGCCTGGAACCGAGAGAGAGAGAAATGTTCGATCTCGCTAGAAGCCTTCAGCAGCGTTTGCTTATCGATGATGTCTCCATAAATGACCGACCAAAGCCGCTGGCCCTGGGCTGGTCTACGGGAGAGGCGTTTACCTAGAGAGTCCTAAACTCGGAGGGCCCCGATAACAACGACACTAGCATATTTTTTTTTATCTCTGAACTGATCTTGCGCCAATGGATGTTTATTCCCCTGTGCTGGTCTCTGGTCAGTGCGATAAGTTATGAACCTTGACCAAGTCGTGATATATCTACATTTTGTATATTGTACATTGAAGAACCCAATTGCATCACAATGCTGGACGAGCATCATCTTCTTCCCTTGTCTTTGACCTCCGACCTCGCAAGAACTCGACATACCCGATCGGTCTGCCTCGGGCTAAGCCAAGCACATCTTGAATCCCACCGTACGCAAGACCAAACAACAACCCGTATCGCGCGGTCCGGGCGGCGGTTGTGAGTGACAGGCGATCTAGATGCACACGCCGAATATCGGCGCTTGTTAGCCCATCTCTTTCTGCCGCCTGCAAAGTAAAGTAAATGTAATGTAAAAGAAAAACCCCTGCTCCACATCATGCAATGCTTGCAATATCTACCCGTCGCTTTCCATCATCAAAGCTCCCAAAACGCCATGCATTCCCCATATGGGGTTTTGCGCAATACCGTTTCCCTTAGTCCAGCCGAGGTCTAAAGAGATAACCTAAAGAGAGAGAAAGAAAAGGATTGACCACTTACGCCAAAGAGAAAACGCGCCGGCGACTGTAAGCGTAGCTATCGTCGTAGAAAACATGTCGCTCGCCCCACGATATCGATCGACCGTGCTCTCAAGCGACAAGGCCAGGAAGCTCCAGAAGCCCGTCTTGAGACCCATGCGGAAGCCCTCTCGGATGCCGCCCTGCATGGCGTGGTAATTCTTGCTCTTGTGGTAGAAGTACCACCCTGTCGTCGTGTCGGGCATCTTGTGCGCATGCTCCGCCCGGAACCGCAGCTGCGCCATCTGTCCGCCCTGTGTCGCACCAAGCGAGAAGCCCACGACTGCTGACGAGATTGTTCCCAGCATGAGCCGCACTGGCGTCGCGATGGACAGGCGCGGGTTCGTGTCCTGGGGGAACGTTAGATCTGAGGGCATTGGCATTGGTGCGCCGGGCCGGGGTGACGACGTCAGGGTCGGCGACGGAGCGGCGGCCATCGTGGTGAAGACTGGGAATATCTTGTTTCTAGGCTGTGCTCCTGTTTTCAGAGAAGGCCGAGATTGTCGCGAGGCTCTGCGGCTAGTGGAGTCTCGTCTCGGTGGTGGGATGCGGAGAACGAAGGGTCAGCCGGAGTTTGCAATCCCGGCGGTGGATGCTGTTTAATTGGCGCCGCTTGGAGTCGGTAATGAAGAAGAGGGGTTGCCCTTGGGGTTGGAGTTGGTAATAAAAAGATCACAGGCGAAGGCCCGATATAGATATGTTCTTGTATCGTGAGATTTGAATGTGTCATTGAATTGACTTCGCTTCGATGCTTGCCTGATGCGAACTTGAGGCTCATGTCATGAGGAACAGTGCGCTCATGCATTAGTACCGTATCCACGCACGGTCGGTCTTCACAAAGCTTGAGATGCAGCAGTCTGCAGTTTTTCAGAATGTTTGAGAACTCCAAATGGCCAGTTTCAATACTCCAAAACAAATTCCATGGAGTAGGTCAGTTGTTAGAGATGAATTTCAGTTGCTCATTTCCTCAAGTCAATAACGTACGCCCGTGGCCGGCCAGATGATTCTTTCGACATCCATTTTCGGGTCATGTTCCAGGGTAGCATTCGGCTTCTAGAAGCTGTCACTTTATGCCTTGCTCTCGTTCCTGATCTTGCGGCTGAGTTGTCACAAATCCTTGACGATGACGTATCGATAGTTTAGTTCTTATAGGACAGAAATTCTGCGCTCCATCTCAAGAAGCTGGGAATCCATACATCTTAATGGAGTGACAGCGTTCAAATCCTGCCTGTGCCCCTCCACCTCGTCTACGCGCTCTCACGTGATGTCGCGCTGAGCTGCGCCGCGGTTGGCCCCCCGCCAATCTGAGTCTCAATGCCCCTCATGAAGAACCAAGCGAGGCAACTTTGAACTCTGGCGTCTTCCCAAACCTTCGTATCAAGATCGACACAATGGTACTACACAGATCGTCCCCCTCTGATGCGCCTCTATGCTAATGATACCTCAGACAGACCTCGATGACGCAAACATTTCGGTGCGCTTCAAGCATGGCATCCATACGATCTACCTCTTCATCGACGCCCTTGCCCCCTTCTCCAGTGCCGCCGCTGAACTCCTCAATGTTCTGAATGAACGATACCCCGATGGGCTTACCAAGTCATTTGATTCTTCCGAGAAGACTACCTACGATGCAGACTCGACCCTTGCGTTTGGCGCATTGAAGACGCCGAATGACCCCTCGAGCGGATGGGTCAAACTCAAGACGGGCGATGGAGAGAAGACACCAACAGCGTTGGGACTGAAGAACAACAGTCTTCTTGCCTTTGCGGTGCTGAATGAGGAGGGCGATGAGCCGGAGTTTGAGGTGGAGTGGCCAAAGGAGGATGAGGAGCTTTATGAGGAATAATTCAGCAACGGATTTTAAGCCTCATCCGACTTCGAATACATTTCTGCGAAGGCATACTGTTTCCCCTTAATGACCTGGCGAAGTTAAATCCACGATGCGAGGCTGTCGTCGAGAATACGCCTGAGGACGACACCATGGAGCTCCCATGGAAGGAACATAGTCGTACGACGCCTCACTGGGCCTACCGAATTACCGAGAAGTTTTGAAAAGAGATATTAAAGTAGATACCCAATTGAACGCTTTACATGACGACCAACAAGGATGAGCTGAGCTTGGGTAAAGATCATCAGGGTAGGTAGCATTGCAGGCCAAAACCTCTGGGTCGCATTGACCGAAATATCACGACGCCAGAACAGAGACAATCAAGTAAATAGAATCAAGCATATTTTTAAGAATAGGAAACTCGCCATTGTTTCAATCCCGTCTTACATGACTCGCTGAATCAATGATGCGGCGTTACTCTCCCTGAAAAAGGGGGTCCAAGGCGCATGACTAAGCCATTTAAACTTCACGTGTCGTCAATTCTCCAGGGGTACAGCACCTTAAACCAGGGACCAACACCAACTCTCCTTTCCACGACCAAACCGTTGCGCCGCTCCCAACAACGTCCCGTTGGCCTTAACAGAACATCACCGACGTGGCTTGCGCATGAGGTTGACTACATGAAAGTCGTGGCTTTTCTCCGCCATGGCCTGGGCCTACTGGTGCCGCTCTCGATAGCATTCACAATCTACCTCTACATCTTCCCCATCGTCCAGGGATGCGCATTCCCCGTCGAGTCGAGAAATAGTCAGGAGGCCTATGACTTGACCAAGAAGTTCCACTGGCCCTCGAAGCCGACAGCGGACGATCATGCTAAGCTTGCGCCTTTTCGACTCCTAGCGCTGGGAGATCCGCAGCTAGAAGGCGATACCTCGATCATTACCAACTACCTGGGCACTTTCCCCCATGTGCAGAGTGTTTTCAAGCATGTGACGTTTCAGACGACGCACTGGTGCTTCCGCGAGCGAGTGCGAAAGATAATACACGATATTGTCGATATAATCATGGAGGATCTCCCCTACTACCTCATGTCGCAGCGCAAGCGGTTCGATCTATGGGGCAACGACTTCTACCTGGCGCATATCTACCGCCAAGTCAACTGGTGGTCCAACCCTACCCATGTGTCGGTCCTGGGCGATCTTGTCGGCAGTCAATGGATCGACGACAAGGAATTTGAGAAGCGAGGCCGACGATTCTGGAACCGTGTGTTCAAGGGAACCGAGAGATTGTCCGACGAGTTGGCGCAAACCCCGAGCAACGATTACAACATTTCTGGCGTTTTGGATGGTAGCGATGAAGCAAAGCTTTGGAAAAAGAGAATGCTGAACGTGGCGGGAAACCACGATATTGGGTACGCTGGAGATTTGACCGAGGAGCGATTGGAGCGCTTTGAACGGGTTTTTGGAAAGGCGAACTACGAGCTGCGATTCGAGCTTCCCATCACGGACCCCGAGGCGATAGCTACGATGTACTCTGATTCCAACCCGGAGTCGAAACGGGTCATCCCCGAGCTTCGCATTGTTGCTGTCAACGATATGAACCTTGATACACCGGCGAAGTCTATTCCTTTACAGGATGCGACATACGGCTTCATCAACAACGCCATTTCGACCGCAGGTTCTGTTGAATACGAGGGTCAATTCACTCTGATCCTCACGCATATCCCAATGTATAAGCCGGCAGGCATTTGTGTTGACGCCCCTTTCTTTGACTTCCACACTGCAGCAGATGGCGGAGGTCTCAAGGAGCAAAACCAACTCAGCTCCGATGCCAGTCGGGGTTTCTTGGAAGGAATCTGGGGCATGAGCTCAAAGAGAACAGCCCCAGGCGGTGGCTACGGCCGCGCAGGTTTAATGCTCAACGGCCACGATCACGCTGGCTGCGACACGTACCACTACATCAATCAGACAAACGGCACAGACCCCTCCCAGCGTCAATGGGAAGTAAAAACCTGGTCCGACGCACAAGATCTGAAGATCCCAGGCACCAATGGCATACCGGGCCGACGCGAGATCACCGTCCGTAGCATGATGGGCGACTTTGGCGGAAACGCCGGTCTGCTGAGTCTCTGGTTCGACCAGGAATCATGGGAGTGGAAGTATGAGTACGCCACGTGTCCGCTGGGAAGCCAGCACTTCTGGTGGTTCGTGCACATCTTTGACTTCATCGTGCTGGTGTGGATGCAGTCGTACGCTGTGCTCTCTGTGATGGAGGCTTATGGCGTTGATGTGGACGGGCCGTTTTGGAGGGGCGTGTCACGGATGAAGGATTTTGTGCTGCGACGGAAACAAAGTGTTAGTGATAAGAAGTAAAATAGTGTTTGGGTAAACGATGTTTGAGTAGTGGAATTTTTCTTATAGAATACAAAGCGTTCTGTTTTTTTCTCTCGCGTTTCGCTTGGGATTGCCGTTCGGTGAATTATGGGTGGTTGTAACGGTGTTGGGCCGAGACATTTTCGCGATGGGGAGCTGAGTTGAGTAGATATTGCGAGGCGCAGGGCTGGAATAGGATTAGGGTTGTTGTATAAGGTATCGTGATGGGCGTGGTACTGATGGTAACGGTGTTGGACAGAGATCAGGGCCGCGCGGCGAGGTTGTACGATCGAAGGAAGGGTATTGAATGATATGGTGAAGTCTTGGGTTGAGGCCGAAGCCAAGATAGCTGCGGTTAGAAGCTCCAGGCACGCGGCTCTGCTTTCTAAAGCAGAACCTGAGACTTGCTATCGCGAATATACACGATATTCATGAGGCTCTGAGTTCTCGATACGGCCCAGGGAGTGCTGAGATGCTCCAGAGCAACGCACATCATCGTGAACTTTTCCTGCTTACCAATATCATTGACTGTGCAAACACAATATCGCCATCACCACCACAAACACAAACACTTATTCACTCTTTCAGCTGACACGGACCAGATCACAGTAGTGCCATGATGTAAAAGACTATTGCGCGTGGTCTACCACGCTGGTAGCATCAGCATCGTGGTGATACAACCGTTGAGGTTGCCCAGCGACCAAGGAACTCTGCCAGATCCGGCGAAGCACCGCTATCTATCATGAAGGAAGGTCTGTTGCGCAGAATCGTATGCAGAGTGTGATCAAAGCAACGGCTGTTTGTGTGAGATCAAGTTATTGGGGAGGGTGACTACATAAACCCAGGACCAAACCACTGGGACTGAGTTGAGATTCGCATGATCATACTCACACAAGACAGACGAAGGCCACTTATACTGCTTGAACGATGCTGTCTCTCCAAGGTCTTGGCGTACTGATGCTTCTGGGCGTCGCAGAAGGTATCCCGCAATCAGATGGAAGTCAGCCACTTCTAAAGCACCATGCGAATGTACGAAGGGACAACGCAAATGATGACGTACCTACCGATATGCTTGGGGTGATGGGTCCTCAGACAGACTACAGAACAATGCCAGCAGGCACTTACACCGAGACAATCTCAACAGACCTCGTCAGGATAATCGTCGTCAATGAACCAACGCCAACAACAGGCAATCAGGCAAAATGCCCTGTAGAGTGTGATTGCACAAGGATAAAAGATAAGAACAGCGATGAGTAAGTCCATGATACCAATCGGGCTTCTTGTGCATGTTGCTGACACGCTCAGATACGCCCAGTGCTTGACCAACGCAGCATGCAGACCATGCAGAGAGCCAAATCTCACAGCTTCGTCAACGATAAAGCCAAAGGCAACATCCTGTCCCGCGGAGTGCGACTGCACCAAGATCAAAGACGAGCAAAGCCAAGAGTAATTACATTTCACCTTCGCTATTACAAGCTTCACTTTATTAATGAGCAACAGGTACTTCCAATGCATAACAAACGTCAATTGTCAGAGTTGCAGAGTGGGAACTCCACCCAATTAAACAAACACGTGAAAACAGGTTATCATTGCATGTGGTGGTGGTATTTGGGAGCTGACGAGACTTTCATCTGTCGTATGATAGCTGGATAAAACATGTTGACAAAAGAGAGAAAAAAAAAAAAAGAGAATGCGTTTCTTTTCCCCCGAGCTTTGGAACAAATGCAACGCTAGAATCCGTGAATTAAGCCATGCTGTTGTTTGTTACAGGGTTTAACAGCAGCAGTCGAAGCACTCAAGACAACACTCGCAGGTCTCGCCGCAGAGCCAGCAGCAGCAGAGTGTAGCGAGACTGTAGTTTATTAGTATGATTGGTAGAGCAGTAGAGAGTGAGTGAGAGTTACCATGTGTATAGACAGCCGTGGCTCTTCTCTTCTTGTTGTGGTGGTGGAGGGGCTGGCTGGTACTGCATCTGCGCATTGTTAACAACTGGTGATCTTCCATTCGAGCTTTCATGAACTTACAGGAGGGCCAGGGGGATATTGGCCCTGAGGGGGGTAGCCCTGAGGGGGCTGAGCGTAGTAGCTGTCCAGATGTTAGCCTCCCTCTTCTTGATTCTTCTTCTCGTGACTGAGAGAGAGCTTACCCTTGTTGATTGGGATCGTATGGAGCAGACATTATGACAGATGTGGTTTATGTGTTTTGTGAAATGTGTAGATGCGATGGCAGAGTTGGAGACGGGAAGAGAGAGCGTCAAGTTATATTATTAGGCCCATCTGTCACAGGGGGCGCAGTTGCAGACGAGACGAGACGCCAGATGATCTGTATCCTTCTTGGCTCTTTGCTGTGACCTTGGCGTAATGACGGGAATCCCGCGCACCAAGGCCGATTTAACCGTACAGCAGTCTTGGCGCCATCTACACAGACACTTTTACTGATTGGCACTCACTGAGTTGTTGGTCCTCTGCCCTGGGCTTGCACTAATTGCTCTGCTAACGACGGTTATGCCGGCACGTTCCGTTACGAGTCGGCAAATGATATTGGGTTTTGACAGCCTTCCCGTCTTTCACTCTAAAATGTTAAATTACAGTCTCTGGGCCCTCCGGGCCCCTTCTCAGCTAAGGGTCTTGGTGCCTCCACTGCGAATTGACGTTGCAGGGGTTTGGCGCTTGGCAATTGCGCGTCCTCCATGGCTGAGCAGCCTGAGCTTCACTCCTGCATGAAGGGTCCCCTTGGCGGAAAGAGGATGGGCTTAAGAGATTGCGGACTAGCAAATGCCTGACGGAGCACGAGCCAAGTTTGTTAAAGCGCTATCATGAGATTACGAGCCACAGCCCTTCATAGGGTCCTCCGTATAAGTTGTTCATTGCTACGGAGCTCTCACCGTATTCTTGATAAAGAGCTGATCCTCAGGCTGTTATGTTAGCCTTACTACTCCGTACATGTCCCGTTCTTGTCCTGTCCCGTCTTGTCATGAAACACTCCTTGCAAGTTGCCGTTGTATTCCCGAACCCCGTACGATCAGCGCGCGCACGTACAGGACGTGCAGGTACCGCCACGATTTACGAATACTACAAGGGCGAATGAATTGAAGCTGTCCAAAGCCGCGGGGACCGATTCCCTCTAACACGCGTTGTTCAGCCACCGAATATTCGCTTTCGACTGCGGCTGAGTCTGTCTCGGCATTTGGTGTCTTGGACAAGACACTTGCCGCTGTCACGTTGTATCGCTTAGTTACCGGTTTGCGCCGCATTCGGTGCCCGACAAATGCAGCCGCCGACGGAATCTGTGCCAATTGATGGACGCAGTCAATTGTTGCTATCTTTAGGGGTTCGCTTTGATTAGAGAGGCACTCGGCGCAACAGGCACCTCTTCCAAACGCTTTGATTTGCGCCTGGCTTTCTGTTGTCTCGACCTGAGCGAAGCGGGCGCAGGAAGGACAACCATGCGACTCACGGACATGCAGCCAACCGATCGACATGCTCCTTAATCCGCAGAGCAGCTTCTTCCGAACTCAATTTCGTGACATCCAGCACCAACTCGGTCTCATTGCCGAAGCGATAGACTGATTCCTTCTCCAGAATCGGCCTCAATATCGTCTCGTCCGTAAGCTTCGCGCTGATGCTTTGATTCCGCGCCGGATCGGTCGCCCGCCTTATGTTCTCCTCAATCTCGCACTCCAGCACGATCGATATGAGCGAAACGTCTCGCTTTCTTGCTGCTGCCTCGTAATCCTTCGCGCCCATCTCTCCCGCCGCGCTTGCGTCTCGCGCATCCGTAAAGATCCACGTTGTATCCTTGGTATATTCCGACGTCGCGATTTCGTTCAGGACATGCCGCCGTAGACCCGTTCGCATCTCATGGTAGCCTGGAGACGAGCGCTCAACGAGGGCGTCGATGGGATCGATGAGGAGGTGATTGTGGTAGATCTTTGAGCTGGGGAGTAATTGCTGGAGCTCCTTCGCGATTGTGAGCTTCCCGATGCCGGGATAGCCATTGATGTAGACGAAGCATGGCATGTTTCGGTAGGGGGGACGTGACCATTTCCTGGCAAGAGCTCTGCAAATGCGATTCTCGTACTTGCTTTTCGCTTCAAGGGTTCGTTGATCGTCGAGAAATTGCGGACGTTGGTATTTGTAGTCCGACCCAAGGTGAGTCACCTTTATGCTTTTAACAACCACCGAACCCTCCCAGTGTAGCCACTCAACACCACGCACGACAAGCTTAAGTCGATGACTCAAACTTTGATCATGCAACCAATCTTCGTAAATCCTGCTCAAGAGGATCAAGAATCCCAGAAATCACATCCCCTTGAAAGCAACACGACTTCCCAGACGCACCAATTTGCATATCTGATCGTAGGCACCGCTCGACCGCATTGTAATATCCAGAGCCACCAGTCATCATGACTCTTCCCAAAAGCTTATTGGCAGCTTCGTAGTCAAGAATATGCCTCGGTAACCCGGGCTCTAATGTTTGAGTCTGGGGTGAGTTTAGAGTTGCTATCGATTGGCCAAGAATGAGCTCAATGAGTAGGATTCCGAGGTAAAGCATGAACGTGTTGGTTGGTGATACTGATGCATTGACCCTGGGATATTCTGGAAAGTGTCTGTGGACAAAAACATGCTGAAATTGATGAACACCACCCTTTTGGGCAATAAAGATATCTTCACTTCTTGGAGTGTCCGCAACCCAAGGCGTACCTTGCATTTGTAAGACACCACAAGCGATTATCCAAGCTAGGCGCAGCTTATCACCGTAAAGCAGCGCTGGATCTTGAAGCACTTGTTTCAGTGGTACCAGAGACCACTCCTTACAACTGCCCAGACATTCAAGCGTATAAACATCATACCTCTTAGTTTCCGTCATGTAGCAGTGCTGAATATGTCCACATCTCTCGCCCTGCTTCTTCTTTCCCATCGTTTGCATCGTTTCGCACAGATTACTGATGTGTTTCGAACAAAGAGGCTTAGACATTGTTCTAAGAGTGTTGAGTGTGAGGTTTGATAGGGCTGACTCGATGACAACTGTTTGCGATTGCTGGCTGTTTGTCGAAGAGGTGGTTGAGGGGACAGCAAATCCAACTGTCTTCCTCGAAGCACATGTACTTTGTGCAGTGAAAGAAACAGTCGACATCTTCGAATCCTCTCCACTCCTCAAGAGAATTTCATTCCATTGCTTTGAGGTATTGACGTGCGATCCCGTCAGGTATGAAACTGCAAGGCGGAACTGCAAGTCCTTGATAATGTCCTCATCCTCATCCTCAGGAACAACAGTCCGTGATGGCGGCGTAAGCTTCAACCCGACATCGTGTAGGCCCGAGCATTTGCAAGTCATTGTAGACCGTAGGGCATAATATATGCCACTCAGCATTCCGTTGACGAGTTTGTTAAGTCTCCCATGTGACCGAGACTTTCTTTGTGTCTCCAGATCCGTGTTGAGGGCTGCGAGGCGCTGAAGAGCTGAGACACCATCTCGAATCCTCGTCAAGGCTTCCTCGTGATTCGACTTTTGGAAGATGAATGTTGCTCGCTTGAACTGCTTTTTTATCGAAGAGCTTTCAGCCCATTCCGCCTGCTCCAGTTAGCTGAGACACAACGTTGACCATAGCTTCCTACCTTTCCGTCTGTACCGACATTAAGCTTCTCCATCATCTCCTCAATAGCTTCCCTCATATCCTGCACGCGATCATCGAATACCTGCAACGATGACCAGAGCCTGAGGCGCAGCTTGTTGAAGATCTCTTCTTCTCTCCAAAGGTCTCCGAATGGATCTCGAATCATTTCCTCGATGCGCGTCTGTGGTGCAATTCCTGTTAGGAGCTTCTCGCATATGTTTTGAAGATCGATATGTTCCGTATTGAGAACCAAGATGAGCCTCTTGATGATTCGTTTGTAGGCTCGGAAATTCCTGAGACCGTTCATGTAACATTGTAGTGCAGATACCACAATGGGTATGCTACCCAGCACGATACCGGCGACCTCCAAACCCGACATTCGAATGAAATCTCTTCAGACGGTGATGGAAGGACAAAGGCGTAAGAGAAGAATTTTTGAGGCTCTGAGCCTGACCTTTCTCAGCTGCGCTGATTGAGGGTTGAAAAGAAGAGGGGTTGCGGCTGACGTGCAGCTGAATGTTGATCTGACCAACAGCACCTGCAGATAGCACATTTCCATGGGCCATCAGCGGGCGAGTGCCACTCCAACATTCTTTCCATATTTTCTGAACCGATGGACGAGATAACAATCATCGCCCCGTCTTCATTGTAACCCCTAGACAACCATGAGCACTATTGCTGATCGTGTTTCGGCTTGTCTCCAAGAGTTCAATAGCCTCTGCAATTCCCCGGCAATAAGGACAGACAGTGTTCTCGGCAAGGGTACTCAGAGCGATTTATCGCTATTGAAGCTGCAGAACGAGCTGAGCAGATTCAAAGTCTGGAGTGGAAACATTGGCGCTCATAAAAAAGGAAGAAGCTCGCTCGATCACAGGCTTCGGGATGCGTCAAATATTCGGGATCAGGTGGTTGAGCTTTTGGAGGACTTGAGGGAGTCTCTAAAAGATGGCAAGTCTCTTCGATTGAGCTGCAAGATTCTGTCTGACATCAACAGCCAAGGACATCTTTACGGGACAATTGACACCGTGGGATCAAGAGCAGCCCCCAGCTAAGTTTTCAGATGACGATTCCGATGATGGATCTTTGGCAGTCGACGTACTTGGACCATCTGAGCTCTCTCAAATATTTGCTGCCATCGTTGAAGACATCAACTGCTTGTTTAGACTTTCGGTGTCCATTCACAATCCGTCTCCTCACGACCGCTTCAAGAAAGCCTGCTTAACCGATACATCTAGCTACGAGCCATTTGACGTCCAGCATGTGTGTAATAAGCTCTCTAAAGCACCGAAGCCCATCGCTGAAAGACTTGGAAAGGCGATTTCTCGACGAAGGCAGTATTTCAAATACAGAGAACTACATCATGAGAAGTTAGCCAGTGGGCTTGAACTCGATGGTAAGGACCAGATGCAGAGTACTGTAGCCTCTTCATTGCCAAAGAGGCTTAAGGTGAATGAATCTATCTCTCTGGAGAAGGACGTGGATGATGCATCGGACACCAGAAGATCACAGACTTCTTGGGCAACATCAGCTGCGAATCCAGAAAGACGTAAGATACCTCCCCTCCCAGCGGAAGCCGAGAATGGACCCTTCGAGTGCCCATTTTGTTTTATGATGATATCTATTACTTCGAGGATTCATTGGAAGTTAGTTTCCCTTCCCTTGGCAATATGGATATTACTAACTAGAGTCCACAGGAAACACGTATTCTCAGACCTGTTTCCTTACGTTTGCGTTGAGTTGGGTTGTCCGGCCCCAGACCAAGACTTTCAGAGACGTCACCAGTGGGCCGGTCATGTCAAGAAACACCATTGGAAGACATGGACCTGCAAGCTTGGATGCAACGAGACATTTGTCTCCTTGCAAGGTATGAAGGGGCATTTGGCGCAAAAGCATTCGGAAACCGCGGAATTGACTCACCTCGTCAGCCTTCTCGCCATGTGCGAGAGGCCTAAGTCAGAGTACGAGCCGGCAGACTGTCCTCTATGCGGAGAAAGACAATCTTCATTTAAGCAATACCAACGGCATGTTAGCCGCCATCAAGAGGATCTCGCTCTGTTCGCATTACCCCATCTTCCAGGGGAAGAAGATGACAAAAACGAAGCATCTGATTCCGACTCCGAGGGAAAACAAGAAGCGGAGTCTGAAGAACAAGACGAGTTGCAGAAAGCCAGCTCTTATGTCGCCCGCATTTCTAATGAGAGCGGAGACGAGGTTACAGATGTACCGGAGCGAAGCATTCGATATGCTCGAGAGGAAGTTTTCGCTCCTGTCTCTGCCATAGACGAAATTGTCGATGGGCCAGGCCTTACACTACCCGAATCCCGTCCATGGAAGTGTCCAGATGTGGCTATGATACGCAATATTGGTTCAGGAGATCAGCACAATTCAACCATTATAGTCTGGTCTGATGATGAAAAAGACGGAACTTAGGGTTTGGGAGGCTTTGCACATCCTGGAGGATGAGTTGGAAGTCGGATGGCTTCCGATATGCAAAGAGACCATCAACCCGTACGATAGTTCAGTAGAGAAGAAGGACGAGCGGTTACTCCTTATCAATAGAGTTAATTGAAACATCTTAAGGAAGCTGAGGTGGTCAAATGTAAGAATCGGCTTATCGAGGAAAAGGTCGACGAGCTTCTAGCAAGGCTCGCAGATAACCCCAGCAGCTGGTGATATAACACCAATTCGAGGGAAATCATTGTAAAGGCTAGAGAGAATTAAGAGACCCCTTTAGAAGCGCCATGTTTCAGGTGCTTCTGACATGTCTGGGGGGAACAAGGTTCCGGTTGAAAACATTTATCTGGTTGGCTTGGTACCTTCACGATGAAGTGTCAGGACTGGATTTCGGAGGGCGAAGAGATGATGGATCAGGATAACAACGATAAGTTTGGATATTAGCCAGAAATAACGGAGGTCAACTGAGAAGAATCGTCTGAGAGACGATGAATCAGAGTGATGCGTTTTATGTTAGGAGCCTATGTTTAGTCGGGATTTTGACAGCTGGCTAGGTCTACGGCCCGTCCGGGCCGTTATCCTAATTAGTGGGTCGGCTTCGACAATGACCAGGGAGACCCCCCCTTATCATATGATATGATATCATGTCATGCTTGCTCTGTTTGAGAATGACTGTTAAAAAAAGGCCTCAAACCTCAGAGAGTCATATTCTCCAAGCTCTTTGACTCCCAATGCCCCCATTCAATGTTGATGTTTCCTCTGTTACCTTGAATTTGCTCTACATTTGATATATGATCATGTCGAACCAACCAGTAGGAGATACGACGCCGCCCGAGGTGCCCGCACCAATCATCGCTCATACGAAGTCTCCGTCGAAGTCTCCTTCCAAGTCCCCGTCGAGATCTCCGCCAGCCCAGGGCGAACTTGTCCTTGCGGACGATTCTGATGTCCGTCCTCCAGGCCTCTTTTATATCGAGGACTGTGCTTACTTTCTAGCAGCATGACTCTCATGGGGATGCCGACTCTTCCATAGGTACCGATACGTCAGTGTCTACAGATACAGTGTATATACCGTGAATTTGACAATCTTCGCAGCGAGAGCTCGACCGCCTCTGTTTCTGCTAGTATCCTCGAGTACCGTCGCAGCCAAGGACGCACGTACCACAGCGACAAATTCACCGCAAATTACTTCTTCCCCAATGATGATCAACAAGTTGAGTCTATGGATTTGACGTAGGACCTAGCACATGCCCCAAGGTGTATCAACGAGGTAGTAACTAAACAGCAGGCACCATTACTTGACGCTTCTTTTGGATGGTGAACTGTTTCTTGCTCCTGTCAAGATAGATTCTGCACAGGTGAGCTGCTCTGAAAAGTCCCCAAGCTGGCTGAAAGCACCTGTGCTGATTTGTACAACGCTTCCTGAAGCGAGTTCTAGATGTTGGTACTGGAAGCGGTGGGTTCTCATCTGTTCCTCTTTTGGATCCCTACTAACAGGTGTGTAGGCATATGGGCAATGTATGCCATCGTGATGAGTCCGGGTTTAGCTCATGCTTAAATATCATAGTGAATTTGCCGACCGATATGCCAACACAGAAGTAGTTGGCACAGATCTATCTCCTTGCCAACCCCAATGGGTCCCCCCGAATCTTCGTTTTGAAATCGATGATGCCACGCAACCGTGGACTTGGAAGGAAGATTATTTCAGCTTCATTCATATCCGATATCTCTTTGGTGCTATTAAAGACTGGAGTAGTCTCTTTAGCGAGGCATACCGATGTTGTGCACCAGGAGGCTGGGTCCAGTCAGGAGAGGCTGATGTCACATTCCGTAGTGACGATGGAACTACTGAGCTGGAACCTGTTTTCAAAACATACCAGAAGCTCTTTGAAGAAGGCAGTCAGATTCTAGGCAACCCCTTCTTTGTCCACGATTTGCAACAGAAGGCTTTTGAAGAGGCTGGCTTTACAGATATTGAGACCGTTGATTACAAGGTATGTTTCTCTGGACTTGACTACATTTCACTAAGATGGAATTTCGCAGTTCCCCATCGGTGGTTGGCCCAAAGATCCAAAACTCGCCGAGGTTGGGCGGTTTGTCAAGGCCACGCTGGAGAACGATTTGGAGGGTATGATAACCAACCTTTGACTATTGATGGATTTCTAACGCCTAATAGGTTACACTCTTATGATGTGGCAGGACGTTTGCCAATGGCCCAAAGATGAATATCAGGTATTTCTCATGAGCTTGCGTAAAGCGATACGCAACCCAAAAGTGCATAGCTACATGACTGTGCGTTACGTGTACGGTCATAAGTAGGCTAGCTATGTTAGTGATCTCTATTTGATGTGAGGCAAATGCTATTTGGAATCGTTTTTTTAGGTCATGGTGATCTCCTCCCAGCTGTTGTCTTTTACCGCTTCGCCTTCCATGATTCCGTGAACGTAGCTATCTCCGATCATTTGATAGGTACCATCAGCTCGAGGCCTCAAAACCAATGGCACCGGACAAGACGAAACCACCCAGACACTGTCTCCTTCTAGTGCAGACGAGAAAGCCAGTCCTAGATGCCCTTCGTCTGTCAGGAAAACTTGCCGCTGAGCAGCGTATGTTCCTAGTAGCGATGCAAATCTAGCAGCTAGTATAAACATGTCTGCAAGCTCCTTGGCCACCAGGGACGTCCACTCTGAGTCAAACTCCTCAGAAAACCCCCCCCAGTGAGGAGGTCCTCGCCATGAATGAAAATATTGACGCCAGCTGTGAGTCTGGAGGATCAGAGGCACCTAACTTTTGCAGCATCTGTTTGACCCATTCAATACTTGGGAGCATATCGTGAGCTTCATCCCCATACTGGGCCAGAAGAGACTGGAAGTTTGTCAATTGTTCCAAGTAAACAATTCGTTGGTCGACTGTCATGGAAATGTCCCAGACCCGTAAGTATTGGAATAAGATGTAGCATAGCCAGGCTCTGAAGGAAGCGCCAAGATTCGAGGTATCTATTGAATCGTGTATATTTGCGCCAAAGATGAAAGTACGCCAACAAGTTTCAATACTGAGCTCTCCAGTTACTTTGTAGCACTTCCCGCACCGTAGTAGCATGGCTGCAAAGGGTTCGACGTGGAAATAGTAAGCGATCATGTAGAATTGATAAGACTCTGGAAGGATCTGTCCGACACGCTGGGCCTGCACAGAGAGCCTCGAGCCAGTAATGCTGAATCCCATACAGCCAATCTCGCTGTATCGTGCTGCATCCAATCGAACTTTGCCTCTGGCCCAGGGGAAAAGGATAGGGGCAGTTCTTGCAGCAGATGGCTCGTTCGAGAAATTAGGCACCCATGAGGGTAAGTCCCCTGAAGGTAAGTTCAGTGTGCCACTGTGAAATTCTGCAATCCCAGCCAAGGAGATGAAGCCGAGGTGATTACAATGATTTAGGATGTTGGCCGTTGCGGCTGTAAATACCTCAACAACTGAAGCATCGTAATTAACTTCCAGATCGCACCGAGGAAGTCCCATATAGCTCGCGGCAATATTTACCATCCCCAACAACGAATAAACCCAATCACGAGCATTCGTTATCTTGAACTTATGGCTTAACATCATCATGTAAGCTAACTGAGAACTGGCGGTCGTTTTCCAATTATCAGCGCCGGTGAGATCCTCGATAACAGAAAGCTGTGGGTGATCTTGGGGACTTTTCAAGCTTTCGAGGGACGTCTTGATCACGCTGATGAAGTGAATAGAGTAGGGTCCTGGTGTCCATGAAATCTGCTCCACCTTGGCCATGGCCAATGTCGCGTTGGGATACCAGTCTAGTCTTCGAATCATCATCAATGCAGAGGCGAGCTGTTCCCAAGAGATGCATTCGCTGCTTCCCAGGAAGACAAACGCCTGCCGAGATAGGACGGTCTCTTGAATCACCCAAGCTCTACGGAACCAATTACGGTCCAGAAGATCAACAAATGGCTTCCAGCCTTCAGAAGGAATAGGTGGAAGGCCTGAACTTTCGATTTCGCTTTTGCTCGGGCTCACTTGACTTCCAGAAGTCTCCTCAGCCAAGCTGGAAAGTGCCCGTGTCAGACGAATAACCTCAGCTGATTCTTTTCCGCCATCACCGAGCCAGATATCGACTCGGGCTGCCATGCTGTAAATCTCGCTCATGATGCCGACCTGAATCTCGCGCTCCCTTTGGTTGGTCTGATCAATACATATTGCGTCGATCCACAAATACCAATCAAATTCTTCGAAGCGCTTGAGCGCCCCGAGTAAGTTTGGTTGGATGTAGAATCTACTGCCGTTCACCAGTATACATGAGTCGGAGACCTTGCGTTTGCCTTCTCCCTCTGGTGCACCCCATGTATAAGATAGTGCATGGTAGCCAAGTGCCTCTGCTTCATCCAGAGAATGAGTGGCCACGTCGATGTTTAGTCTCTCCGATAAGAGGCTGCGTGTTCGCGGACGGATTCTTACTAGACGAATATGTGTCGAGTCGAGTGTTGATTCGTATTTGTACTTGGTACTAAAAGTACTGCTTCTGCGGAGAGTTGTCCACGACGAGGAGCGCATTCTTGGAGGACGGAATTAAGATTGTAACCTTGGCTTGTGGAGTTGATTTCTTGGCTGTATAACTACAAAAGAATGATGTCGCAGATAGATGTTGAGATTGCGAGATTCATTTTGAAACTCCCCTTTTCTCTGCATGGATATGTAGTGTCTAATTGGTTCGCTGTTACCGCGCGCTTAGATCTCGCAGAACCAACACATTTGAAGCTATAACCACTTTGACCGCCATCCATGACAGGCTAGTCTAATACTAGCAGAATCCAGTTGCAAGATCGCACAAAAGTCAAACTCTGCAAGCAGTCGGATTTGATATTTTGATTTCGGATCCCAGAATTTCTAATTGACAGTTGATTTGCCCAAGATCAGATTTCTTTCTTGAGGTTGGTACGGTTCAACTTGGCCCTCTGAGCTAGCATGTGCCCAAAGAGGATGTAGAATGCTATGATATGATGTCAGTATGGAAATAATATGCAGATTATCATTGCTCAGGTACCTGGAACGTAGATGGCTAATCCGAACCAAAGCAGATATTGATATGCTGGATTGCGAGCCTGAGATGGCTGGATGACTTCGTACACAAGTTTCATCTCTGAGATAATACCAATGGGGTAAAGAACAAGGAACATGTTATATCTGTCAGGAGTCAATTTCTTTCTCGTGTCACATCTCGTCATGCTTCTCACCTCAACCATGTCAAGCCACCTGGCACAGATCCCATCCCCGTCTGAAGAGTAAAGTAAAAGTATCGAATTGCATCAGCCGCATTCCAAGCCATGAGCATAAGACTATACGCAGTTTCCCTATAGCCGACTTCTGGATAGTTTCGTGTAATAGCCCAGACAATGGTGTTTCGACCAGCGACTTGCAGCGCCGTTGTAGCAGGAGCTGCTCGCACAAGACCAGTGACAGCATGGGTGATTTCCATCACAGTAAAAGTCTCGGTCCATCGTGCTATGATGTTGAGTTCATCCCACACAGCGCCATTGCCTTGGGTTAACCACAAATAGGTCGTTCTGAGCAAGAGGGCTGTTCGGAGAATGGCTGAGAGGGTGTTATAGAGGATTAAATATGTGGATTGCTTAGGCTTCGAGTCAGAAGTTGATCGCGCCATCTTTGCTTTAGGTAATGGAGTCTGAAGATGTAAGATCGTAGATTCTCAGATATGGAGTAGTCTTATGGAAAATTCCACTGCACGCTAGGGAAGGTCCACTAAGGCGGATTGAGTTATACCGAGGCTGACGCTTGAGAACTTCCAAATCGAGATGCTACGCCGGAGATTAACTGGAGACAACACCACTCATCTCGGAGACAGACATTCTGGTAGATATACTGAGACATACTCCTCTGTTTAGGAAAGGCAAGAGAACTCTGATCTCTATTTTGAAGGAGGGAGTTATGAAGGTGAATTTAAGATAGAATTGGAGAAGTTTAGTCTATGCAGGTGGATGTTTCCGTTCTTTTTACAGAGGAAGTGTCGTGCCCCATTGACGTGAGTGACCTGGTTCCAGTTGAACTTCTCGTAGCGAACAATTTATTTATCAGACCGAGTTCGAGAGGAGCCACCGAAGGTTCTCCCTATGAACCTCATTTTTAACTACCAGGATGCTATTGTGCAGGACCAACAATAAACCTAAGCTCCGCGATGAATCTCCCACTCTCCATGATAACATCACCTCTATGCTCGATGTATTTCCCAGCTGAGTCGATAAGACCATACACTCTCATTTTATCAGGGACCTGAAAGGTTTGCTTCTCAGCATTTCCTCTAATCTTATCACCACCACTACCAAAAGGCCCTAGTTTTCTTTCCGTGGTGTTGATGACCAAGTTGAATATGACTTTCTTGTTAACATCCTGAGCTAAAACTCCTGTATTCCATGACGCTCCAGTAATCACTTCATCGTCGTCTAGAAAGATGGACTTCTTGTTATGGCCAAAACCTCCGAAGTGAATACCATCATAAGCCGCGGTCTCGGCATGAAGAGAGTCCACGGCGAAATCGTAGGAGACGTCGAGTCTGATGATATTCGAAGGCACGGCTTTCCGCAGTTCGAAATCATGATTTGTGAGATCAGGATCATCACCCATGTACTTTTTTTGGTAGATCCTGTCATAATCTCCTGTCCATTCCAAAGCTTGATCGGCAACACTGTCGAACATCTTGATCAAGGACTCAACGGCCGTGATGAACTCCTTGGCTATATCAAAAGACCTCTTAGTCGAAAGGTCATCAGCGTATTTGATAGCCTTGCTTGTAAGGTTGGAGACCGTGTCGAAAACCGCCTTCATCATAATCGAATGTACACATGCGTCTAGCCGCATCGCCGCAAGGTGGTGAATTGTTTTTGTTGAGTCTTCGTAAGGCAATTCACCACACGACAGCTCAAGTTCAATGATGGGAACATTGCAATTTCCCTTGCCGCGTAGAAACTGGCTCATACGAGCCCATGGAAGTCCCCGAGTTGATTGACGTTCTCTGTCAAGACGAAATAGTGAAGCGACGGGCATTCGAACATTGACAGGGTAGCTACCCGCTGCGATGCCAAGTGTGCAGCCGACGTAGTACAACAGTGCTGACGCGCCAGCAAATTCATGACCGAGTCCGATGAGCGACACCAGAAAGAACCACTGCGCGAATGATAGAGCCTTGCCGATAGTCTCAGGGCCGTGATATTCGAAACCTCCATCGAAGATAATGTTGTTGAAATCGCCTGATAAGCCGAGAACCTGATCCCAAGTCTTACCCTGAGCAGTGGTAATGGTTGTGACTGCTCTGAATAGTTCTTTTGCTCTCGCCTCGCAGGCTGTAGCATGCATGCTATTCTGCTCATTGTAGGACTGACACTGTTTTGTCAACCCGGTATAGCGTTGACCACGCTCGAATGTCCCCATCTTCATTTTGCGAGTGTGATTTCTCAGAGAGAAAAGGGAACGAAGTCAAGGTTGCTTTGCCAGCTATTCCCAAAACTTGATTTCTTGTTCTTTTTATCTTAGTCTTGGAGGAATCTGTCCAACTCAGCCGCAGCTGAAAGCGACCAGCCCTAGCAGTTAAACCATGGCTTTTTGTCATGCATGTAATTGGTGAAGCTTTCGCTAAGAGCACCAGTGAGTGCCCCTCATTTATTCCGCTGTGCCTGGGTCTGAACTGTTGGCCGTCAGCCAGCAGTCAGTCTCAGCAGCGATATCAATCACCGCTATTATCATTCAATAAGTGGCGCTTCTTGTACGGATCAACACATCTCAGAAAGAGTTCAACTTTTATTTTACGTTCATTTACCAAATATCACATAATCTCAGAAAATATCGATCATAAGTCTCATCTCACTCCTCCACTCACAACGACCAAGCATATCCAACTTAGCTATCATGTATATCCTTCAGACTTGAATGGAGTGATCCTGACCGTAGCGCTGAGCAATTCCACGGGGCGTCTTTCCTGGTGAACACTTGCGACCCTTCATAAAATGCTCCAGAATCGTGGCTATCTCAAAGTCTCCCCACTTCTTCTCCTCACTGCGATGAAGCAGCGTGACCACCAACTTCTCCCTCTGCTTGCTCAGCGCACGCATAGACTTCATAAACTCCTTATTGTGCTGGTCGTTGGTGATGATAATCTGCTTGAGACCAGGAGCCCACTCTGGAAGTTCACAAAACTCGTCCAAAGCTTTCGCGGTTATCATGGTTAAGCCGAATGAGTTGGTACTGGACGGTGTGATCTCGAGGAGTCTGAGGTCTGGGTAGTTGGAGATCAGGGCCAGGAAACCAGCGTCGCCGACTTTGTTTGCGCCGGGGAGACTGACGGTTCTGAGGTTGGGCAGACCTTTGGCTAGACGGATGACGGCTTCGTTGGTGAGGTCCCTGGCACCGTGCTTTGCAGTGTAGCTGACGTCGCTGAAATTGAAAAGGAATTGCCAGATCTTTTCACGAACTTGACGTGACAAGACCAAGGTGTCATCGATATGGTCACTGTTGGCATTATGTTAGCATTTATCTCACCTTGAACTGGACGAATTGGCTTACTCAGTCAGGACAAATTCATAGCCAAAGTAAATCATCCTAGTCGACGTCCCAATGAGATTATGGTATTTGCAATCCCAGTCAGTCACGCTGCTTTTGAAGCGGGCCTCTTTGACGCCTTCAGAGACGGGCTTTAGCAGCCTTTTCTTTTGGCGCGTTGGTGCCGGGAGCTGGAGCATCAGCAGCCGAGTTGCTTTTCTCGGTTCGGATGGGAGGCATGGTAAAACATGTAGAATTATACTGTCCGTGATAGAGACTAAGACCGCTGGATCGTATAGCAAAGACGCTTTTAGGTAGACCACTGCTGGTTTGGAATGGAGGGTTAATTGTCAGGGGAGAGTCCAGTCGCGGCGCGACGCGAAGGTGGGTTGGACTAGGTCTGAATTAAACGTCATATCTAATCAGCCAATCTGATAACTCTTGACATTTGAATGGTGCATTCAGTTCAATGCCGCGACTTATTAATCGCATATATTTGACGGATTCATTAGCCTAGAAAATATGAGACCAATAAGGCCGGTCACTCTTTCGTGCTCCCTCTTTTTTCAATCCAGTCCACGACCAGTGATTAGTCTCCTGTGGCACGAACCAAGTATCTCAGCGTATCTTGGTGGAATGCTCTTCATTGGCCCCTTCATCGCGTTGTTGTGGCATCGCTCTCCGACAATCAGTCTGTATTTAATCCTTTTTCTCAGAAGCAACATGAGTTCTTGCTGTCCTCCAGGCTGGTCTTCTCCTAATCATTACACAAGATTGACATATACGCCGTCCTGAACGGATCAGCCATACCTGAGCTGTCCCGGGTACACCCTCAAATTTAGCCTAACGGCTACCACTAGCCCTTCCTGTATTCTTTCTACACGACCATATAATGCTTCGAGCCATCGATGTTCGCCTAAATGTGTTTCTCAGGTGGTGCCTTGTTGCAGATTACTCTCCCGGTGAACTAAGCCTCGAATGATTCCGTGCCATCCGCGGTACAATTTGGGGGTTGAAGTAAGTTAGATTAGCGACGGTGCACGGCCGGCAGTTGTTTTTATGCGCAATGCCACTGTGGTAAAAAAAAACTCAAAGTGTAGCATTGAGGTCTACCTAATTTTACCCTCGTATTTAGACCTCAGGTGAATACAAACTGAACTTTGTTTGGAGCGATGAAAGTCTCTTGGGTTCATGGCAGAGCGAAGTAAAGGGGTGCTTGTGATGCCATTTAGCATCTTTGGGATACTCAGCTAGAGTATGGAATCGTAAATCACAAATTGGTTTTATCAAAAGGTTCACAGAGATTATCGAGGACGTGTAATTCATAAAAACCAAATGTTCTGTTTTCTCAACAGTCAGCCCATCGACCCATCCATGGATGTTGTAGCGTACGATAAGCTTTTCCCCAGCTCCGCGGCGGGCGACGATAGTGCAATTTACATCTAGTCAAGCAAAATAAGCGTTTTTAATGGCATTATTGTCTCATTTCATCTTATTAAGACAATGTAACTTCAAGTCAACTCACTCACCCTCAATGAGATAAAAGCTCCCAGTCCCCGTATCATATACATTCTGCCTCCAAGCTAATATCCTCCAATTGACTTCGTCTTCGTAATATCAGCAAAAACACTTTCACTCGTTACCAAAATGCATCTTAAACACCTCATTCTCTTTACTGGAAACCTGCTGCCAGTTTTTGGAGCAGCAACCAAGTCTTCCACTTCAGCCAAGGCCCCTGAGCCTCAGCAACCGGGCATTGTCTCCAACTGCAAGTCATACTACCTTGTGCAAAAGGGAGAAACCTGCTTCTCAGTCGCTGCCAAGAACAAGATCTCCCTATCCGACTTTCAGGAATGGAATCCCAAGACTGGCACTGACTGCAACGCCCTTCTGGCAAACGCATACGCCTGTGTTTCTGTCACTGAGACAAAGGGCTCATCTCCAGCAAAGAAATACTCCCCTACTCAAGCTGGCATCGCCAAGAACTGCGCCAAGTACGCTCTTGTTGGCAAGACCACGACCTGCAAGTCAATTGAGACGCAGGACAAGCTTTCCTTCGCCAACTTTTACAAATGGAACCCCGCTGTTGGAAAACACTGTCAGGGTCTCAAGAAGGGATACTATGTTTGTGTTGGCGTTGAAAAGGCTGTGACTCCGACACCGACCACTCCTGAGAATGTCACCGGCAACAAAGCGCCTTCGCCGGTTCAGAAAGGTATCACCAAGTCTTGCAACGAATACCATCGTGTTTCTAAGGGCGACACTTGCTCTGCTGTTGCGTCAGAGTTCAAGATCGATTTGGATGAGTTTTACAAGTGGAACCCTGCTGTTGGGTCAAAGTGTGAAAACCTTTGGGCTAATTACTACTACTGTGTTAGTGTTGCTGGTGAGAAGGAGAAGGCGAAAGCTAGTGTACAAACTCCCTCTCCTAACTAGAGCGGTGTATCAAGGGACCTCGTTCAGTATTTCAATATCTGTTTTAAGTCACATAATAGTAATTAGCTACCGTCAGAACATTTCACGGGTGTGTATATGAAACTATTGTTCCAAGAGGATTGTGTATTGACGGTCTATAATATTTACATGCCCATAATGTACTCGAAGCAGTGCCTATCACTAGAACAGCATTCCGAACCCCAAGAGGGCTCCAGCGGCCAATGTCCAAACCATGCACTGATGTGCGTTGGCTTCGGAAACACTGACTGGCGTATATGGTGCCTCTCCAGCTTCCGATGAACCACTGTGCGTGGACTTGGCCTCCCCGGTAACGCTTGCTTCGGTAGTGAAAGTTGTTGAGATGCCTTGCTGGCCCTGATGAATAGCCGATGATGGTGAAGGATTTACTGAGGCACCAGACTGGTATGCAGAGATAACTGTCTGGGTAGCACCACCTTGTGGCTGCTGCGGCTCGCTGTTATTGGGCTCATCAGAGCCGTGACCAGGAACAGAAGGTTGCTTACCACCCTGTCCTGGTTGGGAGTTTCCATGCGATTCTGAAGCTGGCGTAGGAGTATGAGGCTTGCCGGTCTCATGGCCAGATGGAGAGTTGCCTGGTGATCCCGGTACAGGATGAACAGATGGCTGGCTATACGCGCCACCAGGTGAGTTGGCAGGAGAATCCTTCGTAGGTTGTGCCACGGGATAGCTGTGGCCGCTAGCATCAACCTGATAGCCTCCAATACATCCAGCAGGCGTTGTAATCACTGGAGGTCCATAGCTCCCACCGTTACTGCCCACAGTGACATATTCGGAAGTAGTAACTGTCTCGGTAACTACACCAGTGCTGCAAGTGACATACTCGACCAACGTCAGATAAACAGTCCAGACGTTGTAAGCAGTAGGGTAAGGAGTTGCAACATGACCTCCAGATGTTGTCTTAATGATAGTGGCACCAGAGGTCGAAAGTGTCTTGGAGCCAACCTCCTTGGTTCCAGAAGACGAAGAACCAGACGAGGAGGCTACCTGGCTATAGGTTGTATGAGTCTGAGTTACTGTAGTACCTGAAGACGTAGACAGAGAGGAGCCTGTTTGGCCTGTAGCAGAGGTTGGAAGAGATGTTGATAGAGAAGCTTGACCTTCTGTTGTCGTCAGAGAAGATGACAATGACGCAGTTGAGGTAGCTGGAGGAGCGGAAGTGGAGACCTCGGATGATTCATTGGTTGTAGTGGGGGAACTCTGGTTGTCAGCGGTTGAGGTCGTTGGCTGTATCTCGGATCCTGTTGCTGTAGATGTAGTCACAGTAGCCGAGGTCTCAAGGGACGACGTTTCATCATCGCAATCGTCAGTTGATGTCTCAGCACTGGAGGTACTGGTGGACAATGACTCTGTAGTTGAGGTAGTAGCTGTAGTGGACTCCCCAGAGGCGGAGGTCTCTGATGTAGATGCCAATCCTGATGTTGTATCTTCTGCTGATACAGATGATGAAGATATCGATGAGGTCTCTGACGTCGCTGATATCGTTAATGTGTCTGATGTTGTTGCCTGAGATGTAGCAGCTTCCGATGTTGAAGCCTCTGCAGTACTAGCCACTGATGTAGTAGCTTCTGTCGAAGTACCTTCAGTTGAAGTAGTGGCTTCTGTCGAGGTAGTAGCCTCCGTAGATGTCGTGGCCTCTGATGTAGTAACATCTGTTGATGTAGGAGCCTCAGAAGTAGTAGCCTCGGTCGACGTCGTCTCAGGCACTACCGTCCTAATAGCAAGATCGTTGCCGCTGAACGACCTAGTGCTCGTAAAGGTGTCTATCAAAGCACAGTCGCCGCTTGAGCTGAGGAACAATGCAGCAAGACAAGTATCGTCATCGTCGCATCGATCCACGCAATCTTGAAACTCATCTCCCTGAGAATAATAGGCAGTGATGTGCCCGCCAACTGTAGAAGTATCGCATAGAATATCGAATTTGTTGTTGTTAGGGCCGGTGTAAATGCTGCCGGATAGCTCGCTGCAAGTGGCGGCTGCCAGTACAGTTGGAAGAAGAGACAGGTTGAGAGCCCAGAAGGCCCCAACGCGCTTTGACCGTTCCATGCTGAAAAGGTGTATGATAAAAAATACAACGTTTGGAGTACAAAGGACGGGAAAGTGGATGCAGAGTCTTCTTATAGAGAGGGGAGAGGCCTTTTCCAATGACTATATTAATTTCTTAGTGTAACTCGCTTATTTCAAGCTGCTCAAGCTTGCAGTAGTGAGCAGCTAACCAGCAGTCATTGCATGATGTGCTGTTAAAACAGAGCGAGAAATATCATTTTAATTTCTTTTTGCACTTATAGATCCTTGTAGCTCCAGGGGAACTATTGGATCTTAGCTGAGCTATTGATCCCACTAAGCCTGATACAATCTGCGCTATCGATTTTACAGCTGGGGTCGGCGAGCATCTAGACCAAAGAAAACACGACAAGCCCCTTTGTGAAGCGACGGAGTTTTTCTTGGTGTGTTTGTTATCAGTTTCTATTTACATGCTCTTCTTCACCTATCTCTGTTGATCATTATTTACGATACTTATCACAACACGCTCGTCCAGGATACTTACACAGACGTACATCGCCGCTTTGAAACTCGTTCAGTGGCTGCTTCCCAAGCCGGCCCCCGTAAGCGGCCCTGGTCAAAACATCTCTCGTGTTGGAGCTTTTAGTTGAGCTAAGTTTGCAGAGGCCGGCTTGGGAGGCAACCACTACCGTCGCAGGCTCATACGCTTCTTTACTAAGTGGAGCAGCACGTAGAAGAAATATCTCGAGGCTCTGAAACGATGTTTACAGCTTCCCTGCCGACTACCCAAGGCATGACAGCCGAGATAGCCACGACGACTGCTAACATCGGATCGGAAGTACCTTCAGATATACCCTTCATCAGCAATGCTAGATTCGACGAGTGCGATTCGTCTATCGCGCCATGGGAGCTCTATACCGGCGAGAACACCGCATTTGTCGTCTCCGACGTGACACATACCGGATCGAATTCCGCTTTCATGATCCAAGGGCAGAGTCCTCTCATAGACTTCATCAAGCAGCCGCTCAAGGGTTCCCTCACTGCTGGTGTTATGTACCATGCCCGCTTAGGTCAATGCAAACTCCTTCTGCCCCGCTGTTGTGCTCATATGCTCATATCAAAAATAACTATTGGGAGGAATCAGAGCCTATCCTTCTTACCACGAGTGTAAACAAGCGGACGCATGTTTCTTCGACTTGCACTTATACGCAGTTGCAGATTGATTCTGGGGACCTGTCTTTCATGATAGGGTTTCAAGACTGTAGCAGTAGCACTGGCCGCGGCTATATAGATCCGATAGATTTGCCTCCTGACCGTGTTCGCCTTGCCACGTCAGTCACAAAGATACGGGCCTACGCGCTTCGGGAAGGGTCGATACCATCTAATGTTAAGAGGCGCTATTGAGAGTCAAATCTGGCTGGGACCTGACTCTAACCGCGCGCCTTACACTGTCGTCACATTGGTGTGGCCATGGTGCGAGACCACGAAGCGTCTAGTGAAACAAGCTAAAAGGGAATACTCCAGCCAACAAAGGTATTGTCAAGATAAAATAGAGAGATCAGCCCCATTTAGAATGCCATATTTCAATAAAACAATTATTCGTATTAAGAGATTGTCTTACATGTATTTTTTTTCATTACACTATCAATAGAATAAAATGACATCTGAGTCCCAGCAACCACGTTCCAAAACTCCAGTCCTCAAGCTACGACCGTCGGTCACAACGGAACAAATCGTACCTCGCCTAAAGGTCAAACAGCCCTATGGACCTTGGATCGCACATCCAGGCCTCATCGATGAAGAGTTTGAGCGGCGCCGTCACCTCGTCCATTTCCCACCTGATGTGACAAGGGACGAGCATAGACGACGATGGAAGGACGAGATTCCGGTATTGGAAGCAGAAATTGAAGATTGTAAACTTGAGGACTTTGATCTTAGGGCTGTTATTTCAATGGCACCGAAATACGACATGCAGTATACACTGTGCCAATCCGATCATGAACAAGCTAAGTATCTTGAGAGATATTATGTCGGGGCTCATATGTATGACAACCTCCATTTTGAGTGACGTGCAGGAGTTCTGACGGTGTTGTGCAAGCTACTTACGGCCTCACGCTTTTTCCTCGCCTTCCTTTCTCGAAAGCTTTGGGCATGATTGGGGATTGAACGCTCGAGGTATTTATTACCATCATTACTATTCACCCGCGTGGATTACAGCAGACCATAAACTATGGGTGCCGTCAATACAGGATAAGAATTGGGACGATGCTGACGAAGAGGGTCGCCGAGTCAGAGCCAGAACAATGGTCAAACATATTCTGCAAAACGAGAAGTGGGCTAAGAGCGAATATGCATGGGAGGCCGATGCTTGGAAGGATGTGTTTGGATTGATGAGAGATGACCCTGTACTTGCGGTGTAGGGGCATAAACCTCCTCTAAGAGAAAATGCCACTAACGATTGCAGAGACAAGCATGCATATAACACGATACGAGAGAAAAGGCATCCTGTTACATGCCTTTTGACTGGCGAATCAAAGTTCATCAAGCGGATCCCCGATGCGACTTTTGGTCTCGCAACATTCAAGCCAAGAGATTACCAGAGCCCGATTGCAGAATGGGATCTCGATCGTGATCGCCTGGAAGCACTCAGTCTTCATAGATACTGCGGTCTCCACTCTGACCCTAGCTGGGGAAAGTCAAGTCTAGTGTTCCCATTTGCAGCATATGAAGCCAAAGGATGGAGTGGCGATCCTCGGGAAGCACGACGTCAAGCGTGCTCTGCTGGATCAGTATACCTCGACATGCTTGATCGTCTAAGCAAGATTCCCGGGAAGCCTGGAGACCTCGATGGTGCATACCAAGCCGAAGACAGCCGAAATAGCCAGGTTTTTGTCTTCACATCCTTTGGTGCTCACTGGCATATTCTGGTTGGTTATAGGCGGCCACGACTTGCAAGAGAGCATGCGGGCATGGCTGGTATGAGCAAGACTATATATGTAAGCACAATGCATATCTTGGACTGTCATCGCACTAATACACGAGTCTATAGGACTTTCAAAGAATATGGAGCGGACGGGTGTCAACTGAGCGCAAAGCGTGGGAGCTGCTGTCCTTGATCGATCAGATACACCTTTGGGGCGTGACAGTTTTCAGAGACTTCGTCGTACGACACTTAAAGCCATGGCACGAGTTTGGAAAGCGATGCTATGTCAACGATATCGACTTCACTACTGCTTCTTCTGATAAGAGTATCAGGATTTTTGACGAGTCGGTTCGTTACTGGTTCCCCAGGCCTTGTAATGAACTAGCCGAATGGACAAGACACTTCCCCCCGGAGACCCAACTGAAATTCAGAGACGCACTAGGGCATTTTCTGTTCCAAGCTAACGCAAGTTACCGTCCAGAAACCAGAGGCAAAAGTGATTCATTTACCTCCTTATTTAACTGTATCGTCGGTACCTGCTCAAAGACTCACCTTGTTGGATATCCATTAGGGTCTCTAGAGGAAGTCCATGCCCATCTTTATGACTTTCACGGTGTTGAGCCGGGCACCGCACCGGACCTCTTCTTAAGCGCAAAAGAGCTATTAAGCCGGAAGCTGCGTGTTTGGGAAGTCGGACAGAGATTGTTTCTCGCTGACCGCCTAGTCCTACACGATGATGAAATGGAAGTCTGGGGTGGGCCATCGGGTAAGAGGAAGCTCAAAGATATAATGGATGAAGAAAGTGAAAACCAGGGCAATTGCGGTGATGACACAAAAACAAAGAAGAGAAAGCTCCGATCATACTACAGGTTTTAAGCCTAGCGATGTGGGATTATGGTTTGTGGAATAGCATTTTTAACTATTCATTAGAAGTGAAGCTGGTGGGATGTAATTATCTTTACCGTCAATCTCTTGATGCCATCTCAATAGACCTATTATGGCGCTTTTGACCTTGTTTCTCGATGCTGACATATACATTAACTGGGGATTTGAGTTCCGTTGAGTAAGCAGTGGTGGAGTTCGCGCTGCACAGGTGTTTGTAAGCAAAACCACTATCTGAGAGAGCTCACATGTTGGCGATACGATTGGTCATGGTGTAGGCTGATTAATTACCTGAGCCATCGCGAGAAGTGACTGAGCGTACTATATAAGTAATTTAATTCCTTTTGATCTGAATGTTACGAAGTCAAACATAAGAACCTACAAACGTAGAGAATACTTTAGGCTTTTATGATTAACTTTTGACAAGATGGTGGACCATAAAGAAATAGTACGACGAGTACGTTATTAATTGCGATGTTTTTGTTAATGACTAACTGGAATAAAGAAGTATAGTTTCGATGATATCCCATCCCTAGCTGGCAAAGTCGCCCTTGTCACAGGAGCCAAGTAAGTATCGCAGCGCTCGCAGCTACATAGCGACTAACAGCTTGTTAGCACCCCAGATGGTGTTGGCTATCACATCGCCCATCAACTCGCACTCAAGGGAGCAAGAGTCTACATCGGCGCCCGCAATCTTCAAAAAGCAACAAAAGCAATAAGAATCATTCTTGCCGAATCACCGCAGCTAAAACCCGAATCTCTTGTTCCATTTGCCGTTGACATGGGGAATTTCAAACAAGTGCAATTTGCTGCGAGAAAAGTTGTCGCAGAAGAGCCCCGACTTGATATCCTGGTTAATAATGCTGCTGTTCTCGCCAGACCTCTTGATAAAGATGGCAATGGCATCTCAGTCTCATTTGCCATAAACCACCTGGGTCCCTTTCTTCTGACCAGGGAGCTATTACCGCTGCTCAACAAAACTCAAGCTGAACACCCTGGGGTGCGGATTGTGAATGTTGCTTCAACGGCTCACTACGATGTTCCGGTAGGTGCAAAGTTTGGTTCACTGGAGGATTTTAACGCTACCTACGGGAGCGAGGATGAACCATCAGCTAATTACCTTCGCTACGGCTACTCCAAACTCGCAAGCGTTCTCCACACCAAAGAACTTCAGCGTCGTTTTGACCAAGAAGGAGTTGATATCCTCGCACTCAGTGTTCATCCTGGAGGAGTTGCAACGAATGGTGCGGCAGGATATCTTGGAGGTAGAGACAACGACATATTCCGATCGAATCTCTCGCCTTTCGAGGGCGCCATCACGCCTCTGTTCGCTGCTGCTCACCCGGAACCAGCTCAACACAGAGACAAATATGCTGGATCGTTTATCATGCCGTTCGGTGGACTTAAAGAACCAACTGAGGATGCAAATAACGCCGAGTTGGCGAAACAGCTTTGGACGACGTCTGAGAAGGTGGTCAGTAGTGTGTTGGATTGTTTTATCTGGGATAGCATATTGATGCCAATGGGTGGAATTTTTAACATTGGGCAAAAGGCGTAGATACTCGTTTTAATAGATTGCTTACAGGTTTTTAATTTTCTTAATAGACTATTTGATTTGGCCGCCTAAGCATCTCGCAATTGAAACGAATCGAAGAGAAAGCTAGCTGAAGGACCTCTCTCAGTCAAGGTGGACTCCACCAACATTGTCCTGATACCTAATGAATCTTTCGACTAAGCGATTATTTCACGGTCAGCTCTTGGCCACCTTGATCCTCAGTTAAACAAGGCACCATCAGAACTTTAATGGCTCATCCTACCAAACTCATACAATACAACCGCTTGGCATTGCCCTCCTTGTCCAAATGATGTAAACAACACCTGACTCTCAGACATTTCCCAACATGGCAACTATAACCACCAAACAAGACTCCTCTTCTCCACAAAACAATGACGCCGATCTCTGGGGTTTCCCCAATGTCCCCGGAAATAGTGAAAATGGCTCGGCTAAAGAGGGAAAAGCCATTCTTGCAAGCGTATAAATTTGCAATGTTCCTTGGTGATCTGCATGTCTTTTCTGAATCATTACCCTCTCTTGTTTCTCTTTTTTCTTAGTTCTCGAAGGCTTGACTCACAATGAGGACTTGGTTCGGCCGTGGCAAGAAACTGCAGCATGCAGTAATATCGTGCTGTCTCTGCGCTTTTGTTCTTTATGGCTATGACCAAGGTGTCTTTGGGGGCATTCTTGAGAACGAGGATTGGCTGCGACAGTTTAATGATCCCGGTGATACTTTGACTGGCTTCATCACCTCAAGCTATAATCTGGGCTGTTTGCTGGGATGCTTTAAGAATTTCTTTGTTGGTGAGAAACTTGGTAGAAGATGGACTATTTGGGTGGCCATGGGCTGGATTCTCGTTGGAGCTGCGTTGCAAGCAACTGCTTTTACACGAGGACATCTGATTGTTGGGAGAATCGTCACCGGTGTCGGCACTGGTCTCAAGACTTCTACAGTTCCCATGTAAGTCTCCTCCTGCAACACTCAACTAAACTGACATTGTTTAGGTACCAATCTGAACTTTGTGAGGGCACAAAGCGAGGCCGTCTCGTCTCGGCAGAAGTCATGTTCGTCGGTATCGGCATCGCCTTCGCATACTGGTGGGACTTTGCCTTCAGCTTCGTCGGCGGGCCATTCGCATGGCGCTGGCCGCTCGCCTTTCAAGCCGTTTTTGCATTCTGGGTTATCTTTGTGGTTTTTGGTGTACCCGAGTCGCCTCGTTGGTTGCTCAATCATGGAAAGAGACAAGAAGCCATCGAAGTGCTATCAGCGGTCTATGATAAGCCCACTGATCATCCTGACATCCTGCGAGAGGTTGAGTCGATCGAGGCGGCTTTGTCAATCGAAGCTGAAGCGGAGGGAAGTACTTCTTGGGCTTCGACTTTTAGGAAGGATAAAGTCAGCACGAGATATCGAGTCTTCCTTGCTTGGTTTGTGCAGTTTATGAATCAGGCTGGCGGTATCAACCTGGTTGTTTACTACATCTTAAGTAAGTTCTCAATCCCATTGGAATAATTGGAATGCTAAGGTCTCCAGCTGTTCTGACTGTCAATGTCGGACTTGAACACAGGCTCGCCCAAATCATCGCGGGGTGTATCCAGCTCATGTTTCCCATCGGTTCTTTACTCCCTACTCTGGCTCTGGACAAGATGGGTCGTCGATCTACCATGATGTGGGGATCTGCTGGACTATCTTTCTCGATGCTGATGGTAGCCGCACTTCTATCTCAGGCAGACGATACGTCACGAGGTCGAGCATTTGCTACCGGATCAGTAGCGTTCTTCTTCACCTACATGCTCGTCTTCGGTGCGAGTATGAATTGTGTTCCGTGGGTTTACGTCCCCGAAATTCTCCCTCTTCACGCTCGAACCAAAGGAACTGCCATTGGCGTCAGTTCGAACTGGCTCTGGAACTTCACAGTAGTATGTCTTACTCTCCAGAAAATTTCTCTGTTGACTTATAACTGACTATTTATAGGTCATGATCACTCCCATCCTCATCAATCGTCTTCAGTGGAAGGCATATCTCATCTTTATGGCAACCAACCTCATTTTCGTGCCGATCATCTTTTTCTTGTATCCTGAGACTTCGAACTTAGCTCTTGAAGAGGTTGATTACATTTTTGCTCGTGGCGAGAATATTGTTCAAGTGGCTAGGGAGATGCAGAAGGAACTTGCTCTTCATGGACGTTTGGCGGATGATAGATATCCTGAGAAGGCGGCAAAGACGGAAAGCAAGTCGCATGAGAGGGGTGATGAATTTGTTGAGCATGTAAATGCTTGAGGTCTTGGTCTACAATAAGAGCTTTACTCTATTTGGGTTATGAGGAAACGTGATTCTTGAATTGAATAGCATAAGCAGTGATTAAAGAGCATTGATTTTAGCGGTGAGCACCGGTAACAAAGGGATAATTAAGGGTGAGCTAAAGTCAAGGTCCCTGAGGAACTAAATTTAGGCTGCTTAGTAGTATCCATGCAATCCGTAGGCTAATCGGATGTCGGCACTGACTCTTGAACTGCCGGAATATTTAAACTTTGACGTGAGACGACGAGCAGGTATAATTTATATGCGCCGGACGACACGGACGTCAACACGAGAAAAGTGAACTATAAGATCCCTAAAAATGGCGGTCAAACTCGTATTTTATATATATTAGACTTTCCAGAAACCCTGTTCCTGGAGAATAGGTATATCGAAGAACAACAAGGGTGAAAGCCCAATATATATTGTTCGCCCTCTCATTGGAACTACTTGTATTTGAAGCTGATATTCAAAACAAAACGGAATTCGCTCTCACCTACTGAAATTATTCACCAGAGGTCAGTACATATAATAGAGCCTCATAATCAGTTACGAAGCCACAATACTGATCCCAAGCAGCCCATCCATCAACCTATCTACTCATCATGCTCGCCCAAGCTGTCCTCCTCATCGCTTTCGTTTGCAACGTCTCAGGCACACCCTACGTCGTCACCGACCCCAAGGACCTCCACAGCACCTGGTCCAGTGACGACTTCAGCGCCACACCCGCACCCGACGGCCATTCGATCAAATGGGCGTTCACCGTAAAGGGACATAACGGTGTCCCGGACCCTGGAAACTTTGCAGCTTCGTGCCATGGCTTGCAGGTGATTTCGGATGACCTTGATCTGACGGGGAAGCCCAAGTTTGAGCGCTGCAACGACACGGCTTATGAAGCTCGTCAGTACTTTTCTGGGGAGCTGACGACTGTCGAGGTCCGTCGCACTGATTACCCTGATCTTGGGAAGGAAGTTCAGATCTCTGCTACGGCGAATTACAGCTCGACCAACGACAACATTGTTGGGGAGCACTTGAAGTTTGGCAACTTTCAGACAAAGTTCATTTCTACACCTGTTTAAGGGTTAGGGTTTTATTACAGAATTACTTATCTATGGTTTATCTGTGGAATATCATTTTTGGTATCTGATAGGCGATCAATTTATATCTCACTATCAAAGTGCAAGAGGTTATCCTCTTCTTGAATCGTGAGCGTGTCTGCGAATGTTGCTTATCCATGTAACGGCGATGGTCAATCTCACCACCAACGCAAAACCCATTGATGTAAGCAGGAGCCATACACCACCCTATTCAAGCGCAGGCATAGGGCCCCCAAATACTATCCCTCAATGTTCAGAGCAGTCTCAACTATGGCCCGAGGTCCCAAGAATTATAACTCCCGGCATTCACTCCGACGATCGCTTAGCTAAGAACCTTCCCCAGCCCACTAGTTACCCCTCCCTCTTCCGCCCTCGGATAAAGCACCATCGATCGGAAAACGATCTCTCATTCTACTCAAATTCGTTTCTCTTTTCAGTTTCTCTTTACCTGATTGTATACTTTCTCATTAAACACTTTCTCATCTCTCAAATAATTGGCAGAAATGACTACCTATCACATCCGTGACGTTGATAACCGTGTAGAAGGGCGTCTCGCTCTTGTTACCGGAGCCAGGTACAACTTGCTTCCTACCTTCATGATCCATTCAATGCTAACCATTTCAGTGGTGGAATCGGTTCAGCTGTTGCCAGGGCTCTCGCAGCAGAGGGTTGTGATGTCGTACTCCATTGCAACGCCAGTCTGGTGAGTTACTCTAAACAGCAGAATAGAATGTCTCATACTAAATCATGTTTCCAGCATAAAGTCGAGGCTCTATCTAGAGAACTAGCATCGGCCCACCCCGGTAAACTCTTCCCTTGTGTTTCAGCCGACCTCAGCTCTCGCGACGAAACTCGCGGCTTGGTCGACAAGGTCTTTCAAGACTCTAGCATCTCCGCCAAGCACAAAGCAGTATCTATTCTCGTTGCAAACGCTGGCCTTGGCAGGCGTATCCGAGATATCCAGAACATTGAAGAAGATGACTGGGACTCGGTTATGGAAGTCAATGCCAGGAGTCAATTTGTGGTGGTGAAAGCCTGCCTGCCTGCTATGAGGGCGCAAAGCTGGGGCCGTGTGATTCTGGTTGGAAGTATTGCGAGCACGGGCGGTGGCATCAATGGCTGTCATTATGCGGCGACCAAGGGAGCTTTGAGGTAAGCCGTCAGTCATTCCTATCTAGGAGACAAAGTCTGACATCTGGAAGCTCGATGGGCAAGAATCTGTCAACTGTTTTGGCTGGCGAGGGGGTCACAGTCAACACTGTAAGCCCTAGGAGACGTTGTTCCCTCACAAACACTAAGAGAAGGTCCAGATTCTCCCTGCAATGATTGGTTTCACAGACATGATCCCGACGCCAAAAGAAACGTGAGTACTCTTTGTCAGCAGTTAAAGCCGCCGGCAACATAGGCTGACCCGAGACATAGAACATGGACAAGAAAAACAGATCTAGAGGAACTTAAAGAAGCAGATCCTGGCCTGGCCATTGCCGCAAGTGTCCCTGTACGCCGATTGGGCCATCCTTCAGAAGTTGCCAACATCGCTGTCATGTAAGTAAACCCTCTCTCATTTTGGATAACTTCTAATGTTTCGAAGGATGGCAAAAACTGGTTATCTCACTGGACAAGATATCATCTTGTCTGGTGGTTTGAAATAGACCTATGGTTCCTCGAGGCTCTCTGCGTATGATTCTGTCAGTTCAGGTGCGACAAAGAACCAAAAAGAACATACAACACCGGGGATTCGCTGGTCGTCACCGACCCAACTACTAATCCGGCGCTTCGCAGCTTGACGATGGGGGAGCGGACGGGACCCCGTGTTCTCTACGAGCTTTGGTCGTATGTGGTTGGAGGTTTGAGTAATGTCAGTAATGGAAGAGGAATCACGCAGATGAGAGGATTGTGGAGGTTGAATCATCAGACCTGAGGTTGTAAATAACGGGATTGGATGCTCCTTTCCTCTAGCTGATATCTCAAAAAAGATGCTGTTGATTCATCAAGACATTTCCCTGTGTTTATGGCCAAGTATACAGTTTATCGGTCAAGGACGTCCGTCACTCGCCGCAAACTGAGATTTTCGCGATGAGTCCGCGAATATCATTGTACATAGTAGAGACAGCAGCAAAAATTCAATTATATCCTTTGTTGGCAAAAGATAAATATCTGGAGCGACGCAGGCCTGATTCGAACAGACGCCTCCGAAGAGAATAGATTTCTAGTCTATCGCATTAGACCACTCTGCCACTGCGCCTTGATGCTTCCTGATTGGATGAAAAACTCGGCTTTAATTATGCTCATATTCTTGCAGCAGCTCCACTGTCTTGCTGTGGTCATCATCTTCATTCCCATTGGTGAGCTTTTAGGGCCTATTTCAACTGAAACCCTTGGAAGCCATTCTCAGTACAGTCTTTCAGTGTCTTAGTATAAGTTGGAACGCCGCCAAGGTAGATCAAGCACTCGCGCGGCTTGCCTGGGATATTGTCACCCATGTACCACTGCAACAAGTTAGCCACCCTGCGCAACCTTTTAAGAAAGCATTTTAACATACCGATTTAGTCTTGGGGAAAAGGGAGGCATTGGCAAAGTCCCGGACCTTGTCTCCCCACTCAGCCTCTGCGTCTTCACGGGCCTCGATCTTGTGACGGCCTTGAGTCGACATGTACTTCATAACCCTGACGATGAACTCGCCCTGTGACTCAGCGCATGTCGGCCCATTGCACAAAGCCGTCGGTGCTTGAGGTCCATATGTGAAGAACATGTTGGGAAACCCAGCGACTGCCATGCCGAGGTACGTTTTGGCGCCAGTCTCCCACTTGTCAGCGAGTTTCACGCCCGATACTCCGCTGATGTTGATGTCCTTCAGACCACCAGTGATGGCATCAAAGCCAGTTGCACAGACTACAACGTCAAACTCCCACTCCTTCTCAGTTGTCTTGATACCGCGCTCTGTAACTTCAACAACTGGCGTGGCATTCACGTCTACCAAGGAGACGTTGGGCTGGTTGAAGATCTCGTAGAAACCGTTCTCAAGAGAAATTCGTTTACAGCCGAAACTGTACGGCTGCTTTTCTGGAGCTAGGATCTCCTGGAGGCGGGGATCCTTGACGCGAGATCGGACCTTGGACTTCCAGAACTTATAGGCTTCGGCATTGGCGTCCTCTCGAGCGAGCATATCTTGGTAGTTTGCAAGCCAAAACTTGAAATCGCCATGGGTCCAAAGTTCTTCATATTTTGCACGACGTGTCTCGGCATCATCACTGAAAGTGTCCCGAGGATAAGAGTTGAAGTCGAATCCACCATAGCTCTCGTGTCGACCGCTGTAGACCTCTCTATAACGCTCTTCTGAGATTGCATTGTCGTTGCGCGAGTATTCAATCTGCTTCATGGGCAGTGCCATGTTGGGCGTTCGTTGGAAAAGCACAAACTCGCTTGCAACCTGGCTAAGCTCTTGTGCGAGCTGGACGCCCGTGGAGCCGGTTCCGATCACAGCGATCTTCTTGCCCTGCAGATCAGGTTCCTTCTCAGGCCAGTATGAAGGATGGACCCAGAGACCATTAAACTTGTCTATGCCCTTCCAATTAGGTGTGTGTCGCTTGGCTGCAAAGCCAGTGTTCAAGAGAAGATATCGTGCGACGAATTTCTTGCCATCCTTACTCTCGATTTCCCATTTGTTCGTTTCTTCATTCCACACAGCCTTGGAGATATACGTGTTGAAAAAGGTGTCCTTGCGGAGATCCCATTTCTTGGCGACATATGAGAAGTACTCTCTCAGCTCAGCGCTGCCAGGGAATCGCTGGGTCCAGTTCCAGTCACGCCATAGCTCGGGGTCGGAGAATTCGTAATGGGGTATGGCGCTGTCAACTCGAGCGCCTGGGTATCGATTCCAGAACC